GTAACAAATATTTGCCATTACGTGCTACCTGTAGGGAAAGCCTGTAATCACATGTAAATACTTTATACTTATAGTGCTGTTTCCATATCTTTTCACTATCTTATATAATATTGGAGTATTATTTTATATTTAAAATGGGTTACTCTTATCCAGTGAAAAATTATATGTGTATGTGCATACGTATGTCTTTATGTATCTATATTTGTGCTTATGTGATATATACACACACATACACACACATAAATATACACATAAATATCTATACATACCTGTCTGGGCATTGAGATGTCCAGGATAATTTGAAATAGTTATCTCCAGGTTGTAGGGCTTATGTGTGTATGTGTGATTTTGTTTTTCGAACTCAGATGACTTACTCCAATAGTTATGTATTAATGTTGAATTGAATACTGCTATATTCATCTTGAAGACAATACAGAATGTCTGCTTGCTGTTGGATTTAGAAAAGAACTATAATCTCATTGGTTTCATATTCCTAACTAATATCTTGCATGGATTCTTCTTATGGGGAAGGCTTTCTTTATAGTTTTCCCTCTCTTTACTGTGGAGTATCTTGCAAACCATAAGAATAATATTGACCTGAGGGTCTTACTGTGTTTTTGACTTTGACTTTAGATTTCCGAGGTCCTTTCTGCTTTGAAGTTTTATGATGATTTGACAAATTTACATTTACTACTGTGATGGTGGTATAAAATGGGTCAGCAAACTGTGGTCCATTGGCCATATGTGGCCCTCTGTCTGTTTTTGTACATTTCATGAGCGAAGAATGGTTTTTATAAATATATAAAGCCTTGGGATCTATTTGATGATAATAATACTAGCTTTGAACCCTGAATAAACTGTTATCTCCTATAAAAAATAGATTCCATTCTTCTTATTAGTAGACTTACATTACAAAAAATTCTATTCAGTGAAAATTTTGTGAAAATTTTGTCAAAATTTGTTTTCTTTCTTGTTATTCTAAGTACCTACATAGTATCCTCAGTTTTGTTTTCTTGCCTGCAAAGCCTAAAATTTTACTCTCTGGCCTCTTACTGAAAAAGTTTGCTGGCCCCTTTTCTGGAAGAAACCCGTGCTTGTCCTATGTTCACATTCATTCTCTGCTCCAGCTTCATACCAGTGTGAAATGCTAAGTTGGAGCCATACAATCTGTTTTTTGCTGTCCACATCTGCTTGATTGAGTCAATTCTTGAGTTTCAGAATAGTAAATAGTTCTTAAAAATCACGTCTAAATATGCTTGCTTCCTAAATTTGAGGGTAGGTATTTGGGTAGTACGTTTTGGTACCAGTACAGGTATGTTTTAGTACCTGTACTGGTTTAGTTTAAACTTCTAAGAATTGCCTGATCTGTACTTAGTAAATGTTATTTGCCATGATATATGGTACTGTATCACTAAATCAGAGATACACCTCCCATGTAGCTGCCCTGATTTGTGATGAGAAAAATCTTCACTAGAAGTATCATTCCAAAACTGAGGTCCAAAAATCATGCAGATGATGTCATCATTTTATTACTAGTTTGCCATTATATATAGTCTTTCCTGTCTTTATTTATAGTCTTTCTTGTCTTTAATAGTGTAGTGAAAAACCCCCCAACTTGTTTGATAACACCAACAGTTAACATCATTTCACATTTTGTGAGTAGGCGACTTGTTATCCTCTATGTTATTTAAAGGATTAAACTCTCTCTGTCTCTTGACAGCGAATATTTTCTCTGTTCGTTTAAGTATCCTGATGTGTTTTCAGGGTCATAGAGCAGAATCAGTTCTCTAAGAGCAGTTTTCTAAGTAAGCACTGAGGTAGAATTCTGTCTTCCGCCTTGATACGGATTGTTAGCGCCATTTTGTATCACAAGTATTTTTAAAATGAAAGAAGGAAGCTTCTTTTCACTGACAGACCAGGAAGCAGTCTTGATTATAAGGGTTTTGGACAAGGTTTTAGATAACGTGATTTAGTTGCACTGTGGATGGGACATAAATTACTCAATAAGTCTACAGGTGTTTTTTTTTTTCTTTATATATTTGATTCTGGCTCATGTTAATTATGGAACTGTTTTTCTTTTCTTTTGCTTCTGCTATTTATACTCTTTTTTTTTTTTTTTTGGCCTCCTCCTTACACTTTCTCTTGCTTTTTCATAAGTCATTTTAGCTGGAAGTTATTGTAGGCAAATTACAGAGGTAAACCACTTGTGAACTGGCTTTTTATTCATAATTCTAGAATCCCTGGGGGTTAAATTTGTCAGGTTTCAGTAGATTCTTTAATTATAACTTTAATGTGTCATTAGGGCAAATATCACAGTGATTGAAATGGGCAGGCATATGGTTGAATTTGGGGTTTGTCCATGTAGTGATAGTTTTGTCTAGGAATAGTCTAGCAATGAAATATCTTGTTTTTATCTATAAGACTATGATTTCTTTTTTATTTCAAAGGTTCTGGGCTCTTTTAGAGACTTGTACTATGATGTATACTTATAGCTTTTGTTGGTGGACTGTTTCTGGAGTAGGTGTCAGGATTTTCATCTGAATTTAGGCTTATTTGAAGATCTAATATATTGGAAAGTATGGGCTTCTCTGACTGCCAGAGGAGTTTTACTTAGCTCATGTTATAAGGATAACTAGTATGCCACATATTAATATATATGTGTATATACATATATACATTTTCTTTTTTAAAAAACATTTATTGATGAGAGAGAGAGAGAGAGAGCGCACGCAGGTGCACAGGGTGGGGAGGGAGAGGCAGTGAAAATCCCAAGCCAGCATGGAGCCCCATGTGGGGCTTGATCCCACGACCCCATGACCCCAAGAGAGGGACGCTCCACTGACTGCACCACCCAGCTGCCCCTACTTGACTTTCTTTTTTAAGGATAAAAGTAAATGGGCACATTTTTGTTCAACTTGTCATCATTAGAGTGATACCAAGATGAAAGTAGTACATTGAGTTTGCTAATCTGAAAGTAATGGAACTTCTATATTCAGCGCTTGATAAGAGTCATACAAATTAGTAACTAACTTTCCCTAAATCAAGTCTGTGTCCAGCCACTTGTAAATAAAGTTTTCTTTTGAACGTAGTTGCACTCATTCATTTACATATTTTCTGTGGCTACTTCCACACTAGAAGGACAGAGTTGAGTAGTTATAGCAGAAAATAGAGACTGGATGGTCTGCCAAAGTTTGTCAACCACTAGAGATATATGAGGGGTGTGTGTATGTGTGTGTGTGTGTGTGTGTGTGTGTGAGATTAGGGTGTTTTGATACATTTTCTCTTCTGCATTCCACTTTTCTTAAGAGTCCTGTATCCTTGACTATTGAAGGAACTTTTACATAATTTTCCTTCAGCTTACCCTTATCCCTACTGCAAATCTACTCCCCTACATTTCTCTCTCAGAATCATCCTTCCAAGTTTGAAATCAATCTATCTATCTATCTACCTTTCTTTCTTTCTTTCTTTCTTTCTTTCTTTCTTTCAAGATTGTGTTTATTTATTTGACAGAGATCACAAGTAGGCAGAGAGGCAGGCAGGGGTGGGGGTGGTGGGGGGAAGCAGTCTCCCTACTAAGCAGAGACCCCGATGCAAGGCTCAATCCCAGGACCCTGGAATCACGACCCGAGCCGAAAGCAGAGGCTTTAACCCACTGAGCCACCCAGGCACCCCTCCCCTTTTTAAAAGATTTTATTTATTTATTTGACAGAGAGACAGTGAGAGGGAACACAAGCAGGGTGAGTGGGAGAGGGAGAAGCAGGCGGGAGAGGGAGATAGCAGGCTTCCTGCCAAGTAGGGAGCCTGATGTGGGGCTGGATACCAGGACCCTGGGATCATGACCTGAGTCGAAGGCAGATGCTTAACAACTGAGATACCCAGGTGTCCCTTGACTCCACTGTTTCCTAAATAAAATCCAAATACCTCTTGCTCTGGCTTTTGCCAAGTCTGATTTTTAAATTACTATTTTTTTTGATATGCTGAACTACTTACTCATCATTTCCATCTTCTATCTATGCATTTATATCTAATGTAGAATGTCTCAATATATCTAAATTGGACTGCCTTCTCTCCTTCTCTGTATTTCCTATGTCAAAACTTATTTCCAGAATCCAGGCCCTTCCTGTACCGCCACCTTCACTATCTCCTTTTTATCTTTCACAGAAACTTCATATATTTCTTCCTTTTTCTTACCACTGTGCCTGATACATAAGACAGATACTTCACTTTGTTTATATTACCTTCTCAGAAATTTCTTACTTATTTTTTTCTCCTGTTAGGCTGTGAGCCCAAAGATTCTTTCTTTCTTTCTTTCTTCTTCTTTGTCTTTTTTTTTTTTTTTAATAAAAATCTTATGCACAGAAAAGAACAAGCAGATGTGTGCAGAGTTGTTCCTTCAGATCATGAGACTAAGTCTGGCTCCTTCCTCTAGCTTTTCCCAAAGATTTTTTCTTATTCACCTTTTTATTTCTAGCGCTTAGCATGGAACCTAATGAATATTAATTATTCCATTTATTAGCATGGAGCCTAATGAATATTAATGAATATTAATCCAATCCTTCAGTGAAGGATTGGATTAATAACTGCACCTATACTGTATAATGTTTATTTTTATTTTTACTATTTTATGCTTATTAAAAGGCAAATAAATTTAGAGAAATAAGCCTGACTCATATATATATTTGTAGATATATAGGATGAAACTGCCTAGGTTCTGATTTTTGACTTGGCACTCTGTGCTGCAAGAGACAGAATTCCTGATAGGAAGTTTTGATCAATATTCACCAGGTAACTCATCTGTAGAATAAAAATTTTAATTTATAACTTAATATGAGGTAAATTTGGTAACAAGGCAGATGTTTCTATTTAGATCTGGTGATATGTGTGATACTAGATAAATCCAAATCATTTTCCCCCCCTCCTTTTAAAAAAATGTAAATTCCATTAACATATTAATCAAAATAGTTTCAATCCTGTTTGTGTTTTTCCCTATCCATTTCTAGGTACAAGACATCTGCTTCAGCCATGACTGTCGCTGGGTCGTGGTCAGTACTCTCCGGGGAACTTCCCACGTTTTCCCCATCAACCCTTATGGTGGTCAGCCTTGTGTTCGAACACATATGTCACCACGAGTTGTGAATCGTATGAGCCGTTTCCAGAAAAGTGCTGGGCTGGAAGAAATTGAACAAGAACTGACATCTAAGCAAGGAGGTCGCTGTAGCCCTGTTCCAGGTCTATCAAGTAGCCCTTCTGGATCACCTCTGCACGGTAAACCAATTTTTTCTCTCCCCACTGAACCCTACCATTCTTCTCTTGTTATCTTTATGTTTTGAGATCTGGGATAAAATAATTAAAACATTTTCCCCCCTCATCTGTTCATGCAAAGAGAAGATCTTAGGCTCATTTGGGGACATTCTTAAATTTATTAAGTAATTTAATAAATTGAAGCCAATATAGGAATGATGATCTCTGCCATGCTAACTTTTTTAATATCTAAGGCATACTTTGTGTCACATGTGTGGAATATGAAGTTGAGATTATTTTTATACATTTATAGATTGAATCACATACCTATAAATTTTTTTCAGAAAACTTTGTCTTTAACCAGAGTCGGTACTTTAGCTCATTAAGAAATATTCATTGTTGGAGGAATAGCTACCAATCATGTGTTTTAGACCAGCATTTGCATTTTATTTTAAAAATATATCACCATGGGATTATGTTTGTGAGATTAATTCATGTTACTCTGTTTAGGTTTACTTTATGTATTTTCATTGCTCTTACATCTTCTATTGTACAAATATGCTTCTATTTATTTATTTATCTATCCTTTTTACTATGTATTTGGCAGATTTGTGGTTTGGTTTATTATATATAGTGATACAATGAAAATTTTTGTACTTGTTCATGCAAATATGTATTCATTTTTTTTTAAATATTTTATTTATTTATTTGACAGACAGAGATCACAAGTAGGCAGAGAGGCAGACAGAGAGAGAGGAGGAAGCAGGTTCCCTGCTGAGCAGAGAGCCTGATGTGGGGCTCGATCCCAGGATCCCGGGATCATGACCTGAGCTGAAGGCAGAGGCTTTAATCCACTGAGCCACCCAGGCGCCCCTGTGTATTCATTTTTTAATGAAAATTCTGGGTGTGTATGTGGATCTTGACCTTGGTAGATAATACTGGAATGGTTGTACCATTTTATTTCCACTGGAATGACAGAAAGTTATTTGTTTACATTAAATGACATTTTTTCTAAAGCATTGCAGGTTCTCCTTGACAGATGACCAATTTAGGTTTTCAAGAATAGGGAATTTTAGCTAGAGAGATTTGGTTATTACAGAAATCAATTTTCATTTATTCAGTTGATCTTAATTTTACATAATGTAAAAGTAACTATTTTAAGTTGTTAACTTATTTTTATTAAAAAATTTTTTATTATGTACATCGTTAGTTTTTGATGTAGTGTTCCATGATTCATTGTTTGTGTGTAACACCCAGTGCTCCATGCCATATGTGCCCTTTTTAATACCCATCACCAGGCTCACCCATCCCCCAACTTCCCTCCCCTCTAAAACCCTCAGTTTGTTTCTCGGAGTCCATAGTCTCTCATGGTTCGTTGCCCCCTCTGATCCCCCCCCTTCATTTTTCCCCTTTCTTCTCCTAATGTCCTCCATACTATTCCTTATGTTCCACAAATAAGTGAAACCATATGATAATTGTCTTTCTCTGTTTGACTTATTTCACTTAGCATAATCTCCTCCAGTTCCATCCGTGCTGATGCAAATGTTGGGTGTCCATCCTTTCTATTGGCTGTGTAATATTCTTTTGTGTATATGGACCACATCTCCTTTATCCATTTGTCTGTTGAAGGGCATCTCAGCTCCTCCACAGTTTGGCTCTTGTGGATATTGTTGCTATGAACATTGGGGTGCCTGTGCCCCTTCTTTTCACTACATCTGTATTTTGGGAGTAAATACTCAGAGAGCAATTTCTGGGTCATAGGGTAGCTCTATTTTTAACTTTTTGAGGAACCTCCACATTGTTTTCCAAAGTGGCTGTACCAACTCGCATTCCCACCAATAGTGTAATAGGGTTCCCCTTTCTCCACAACCTCTCCAACATTTGTTGTTTCTTGTCTTATCATTCTAACTGGTGTAAGGTGGTTAGTGACTCAATGAAATGTTCCAATATGAGAATTATTGGGATCCCTGAGGAGGTAAAGATAGAGAGAGGTCTAGAAGATATATTTGAGCAGATCATAGCTGAGAGCTTCCATAATCTGGGGAAGGAAACAAGCATTTGTGTCCAAGAGGCAGAGGGGACCTCTCCCAAAAGTTATCTGTTTAAATGTTAACAATTTCATGGCATTTAGTGCATTCACAGTGATGAACCAGCACTTCTAACTAGGTGCAAAATGTTTTCCACACCCAAGAAGAATGCCATGTGTTCTTTTTTTTTTTTTTTTTAAAGATTTATTTACTTACTTGAGAGAGAGAGAGAGAGAGAGAGAGCGCATGCAGAGGAATGGAGAGAGAATCTTAAGCAGACTCTGCATTGAGTGCAGAACTTAGCTCAGGGCTTGACTTTATGACCTTGAGATTACGACCTTGAGCCAAGACCAAGAGTTGGAGGCTTAACTGACTGCACCAGTTCCTCTGTTCCTCTCTACCAGGCTCCTAGCAACCACCAATCTGCTTTCCATTTCTATGGATTTACCTATTCTGAATATTTCATATAACTGCTGTCATACAATATGTGATCTTTCATTTCTGGCTCATATGACGTAGTATTTTTTGAGGTACAGCCACATTGTATTATTTATCAGTACTTCATTCCTTTTTATGCCCCAGTAATATTCTACAGTATGTATATACCGATATTTTATCATTTCTTCCAGTGAAGGATATTTGGGTTGTTTCCACCTTTTTACTGTTTTGAATAGTGCTGTTATGAACATGCATGTGTGAGCATTTCTTTGAGTACTTCTGTAGTTCTTTTGGCTATATACCCATCCTTATTTGTTCTAGCTTCTGTTTAAACATACATCTTTTTGTAATACCTAATCAATCCTAGATAGGTATTTTTTGTAGGAAGTTTTAAGATAAGTTGAAAGTGTATGTAGGTAAATGGATTCTGGGGAGAAATTCTGTAACTCAAAAAAAATTCAAGACTTCTATTTTCTTCTTAGATGATGCTTTATGCTTTGGCCCCATTATTTTTATAAAAACAGTTGTTACTTATGTTTATGTAATTTAACTAGTTAACCCATGATCTTCAAAGTTGAAAATTTTTTAGAATCATTCCTAGGTGAAAACAGTCATTTTAAAAAGCATTTGGAATTAAAAAAAAAAAAAAAAAGCTTAGTAAGCTGTGGAATATTTGTATTTTCAGCCATTTGCAAGAAATTTTACTTCAGAAATAGTTAAACTTTTAGGTATAACTATTTTGTCATATAATTAGCTCATAATATAGGTTCTTTGAGGACCTTTCTCTTTGTGTTGAGTTTATTTCTTCAATTAGATTTCACCAAACACTTGATGGAGAAAGATTCAGAATGCATGTGGGGCAACTAGGTTGACCAGAGAACAGATATAATAGTAAAAAATTAGGAAGGATTTTTCGTCCTTACATTTATATGTATTCAGAAAGTCTTCTTTTGAGCTTCTTTTTTCTTCTGTTCTTCCTTCCCTGTTAAGCTTACGACATACCAGGTTTTGTGCTAGGCTTTGGTTATTTGTACACAAAAATTTGAGGTAATCTCTGCTCTCATGTATCTTCTAGTCCAAAGGAAAAGGCTGAAATTAAATGACCGTGAACAAATAACTTTCAGTGTATTTTTGTAGAAGGGTGCGAGATGCCAATCAATTAAAGATTTGTCGTTTGTGAAAGAACACATAGTAGAAGAACAATACTAAATTCCTGAGTGAAAATACATGATTTTTCCCTCAGCTTGATTGCTTTCACAGCTTTCTTCCTTTTTTTGCATGAAGCTAACAGACGGCTTCTCAGAGAAGAAATTATACTGTTTTGCAGTAGTGCTGCACTTAACATTCCCTTTGAAAGAAGGAATTTCAGGAGGCATTTTCCTCCTGGTGATGTGTTAAAATTTTATTATGTTGGAATGTCACCCCATTATTCTGTATAGTATTTCTTATTTTTAAAGCGTAGACATTCAAGTGATGGTCATTTTTCTCCATGTTCTTTTTGTGTCTTACTGTCAAAACAAAATGGGCATTGTTGTTGGTTAGTTCTAAAAATGATGTATTTACAGTTGTGTGGATAAACAGTCTGATGCTGGTCAAAAAACAATGTAAACCTTGAACAGGGAGGGATTCATCTTGAAAATGAATCATGCTTTGGCGGTATTACCGTTGTTTGTCTGTGCTCTTTTTAGCAAAGTAAAGGAAACTGTTAAATAACAGTTGATATAGGGATATTTCCTTTTTACTTTCTGGAGTCAATCCAGTTTAGGTTAGAGTTATTTTATCTGTTTGCCTTTTTAAATTTTTTTTTTTACTTAACAGAGGATGTTTATTTATTTGAAATATATTCTCTCTAAATATCTCCTTCATTTCCTATCTTGTTGCCTAGACTTTAGTCTCTTAAGTTAAGAGGATTCTTAACTTAAGATCCATAAATGTGCATAGAGAGAAATTCTTTTGTTGTGTTTACTATCCTCTAACAAAAATTAAGCATTTCTTTTCATTTTGAATATAGAGAACACATGATAGTAGTATTAGTTGTACTTGTGACATTGTCACCAATAAAAACGTACTTTCATATCACATTATATTAAAAAAATGTATCTTGAAATGTTTTCAATTACTGCACATATTTTGAAATATTATGTTTAACATTGCTTTGCAGTTATGTTATATAATAATATTACTGATTTGAATATTTATTACATATAATACTATAGGAGAACTTAATTTTTAGCATATATTGATAACAGTGCTTCTCTATATATGTAATTGTTTTTTTGTAATTCTGTTTATTTTATTCCATGCATTTATAAGTATTATTCTGAAAAAGAGTCCACAGGCCTTCCCAGACTGTCCAAGTAGTCCTTGACACAAAAATGATTAAGACTATCTGATCATTTCTTACTTCATCTGTTTCAATAGACTTCATCCCTTTATGACTATCACAAGCATTTCCCTTGTTAACCATAAATATGATCTTACACTTTTCTGCTTAAAATCTTTATGTGTCTCATCATTCTTCTAGAACATTAGAGAAGACCCAACCTTATTTCTAACTTC